TACATTCAGCACAGCTCTCTGCTGCTTACGATGCACTGCTTTTTCCCTTCTCCTGTAGTCGTATTTTTTTGTCCTTCTCTGTACTGATACAAAATACGTACTTCTGTCCCATACGCGTGACCCACTGTTGTTGTTGAATTATGGCAATGCAGCCGCCCGTAGGCGTGTGACTCACAGCTTTGATAAATGTGGTATTCTTTATACCCAAACATTACCTTCGTGTGTTTTGATGACAGTCCTGTTGTACTGTTTGTAAAGCTCGATACTTCTCTCATGACGTGCAAAAGTATTGTATTCCCCCGAGCTCTATGTGTGTACGTAATTGGAGGCATCCCTTGGGGTCCGTAAATATTTGCCTCACATGATTCCATTTGTATGTTTATGATTTATGATGTATGATTTTACTGCCAAACTAGTTAGTGGTGGTTTGGTTGTTTGTCGTTTCACCATGGATCACAGCCGATTCACTCGTAAGTTATATTCCCCTCACTGCACATGTTTTAGTTCGCCTCATGTCTCCTGTCGAATGGCACGTGATTCCGGTTTTGAAGGACGCAGTTATCATTCCCACCCCCCCGGACTACGTTTTTGTGATCTGGCCGACATCATATCGACTCAAAAGTTTCAAATTTTGAGGTTGTACAAGAACCGAAAAAATCGAAAAAACCCAAATCAGCCGATTTCTTTTCACCTGAATCAAATTTTAATGTTCTTACAAAGTGCAGCGATGAGAACAAACCTACACTCTGCCGCATCATCTGGATGATTTAATTCCTTTCGTGATCTTTTTGGAACCAAATCACAAAAGATTCACAATAAATCTGACCGTGACTTGTATGAGTTTTCCACCGTGCTGCTCCACTTTTGAACCTCATTTTGTAATGAGAGATGTACATACCAATAGAAAGATGTAGAAGTAAAATTTTTTTTTGCTTCTTTGACTTTCCTGGTAGACTCTATAATTTCTGCATGCGAAATTAAGCCATACTCATTCTCTCCACACACTTCAACCTATAGTCTATTTTATTCTTAGATTATTAATAAACCCCTCCGTATTCTACTTCAGCGTTTCCTTGTATGATTTCGAAGAGTTATGCAGATGTTATGAGTACACAACTGACAACTGACTTTGTTGTGTTTAGAATGCTTATAGAGATTGTAACTTGCTAGCTTTGAGGCCACTCTCTTTAAACTATTATCATTGAACATATAATCTCTTTTCCAAGTACGAATTCTTCCATCGAATCATGTGGCACAACTATCAAATAATGTATGGAAATATCTCTAAACGTAGAACTGATTGAACAGAAACTGAGAAGTATTTCTATGAAGGCATCGACGCAGCTCATTTCCTGATACGAACTGACTTCTGAACAGTTTATTTCACTTCCACTTGCATAGACTTCCCATCCAAGTACATCCGTCAGTTTCCAGTAGTACACTTCCCACTTGCTGCAGCACAAACATCAAGTTGACACTCACCGCCTCTCTATAAAATCAGATCTTTCGTGCTTGCTATATCGCTACAGCACTCACTCCTGTTTTACATTATCTGGAGGAGATATAATATAATAAACTGCTGTATCTAGCAGTAGCATACCTGGATAGAGTACACCTTCACAATATGGCACATCACGGAACTGTCTGCCATGTATCATGTTTTTCAAAACAGTACAGCAAGTATAGAATATTACTCAAGTCTTACTCACGACATATTCCACTAATCAAGTATCTAACATGAAAAACATAATTGAGGAATAAAAATTAATAACAAAATAATTCAAGATGTAGTTCAAAGTCGAGAGAAGAAACAGAGTGTTCACCTCATTGGCTAGGTTCTCAGAAACAGAATATTGTTTTTGTGAAGAAAGCTAATTGTGTACATGAATGATAAGATGATTTCTCTTATACAATAATGTACTAACGAGTTGGGGCTAATCTAACCAGAGTCAACCGAGGAGTTACGAGGAGTTATATTAGGAATTAATCAGAGTTTTTTCCTTACATAGATATCATATACATTATATAAAAAGTATATCCTGCCATTTGAGTATAATTTTCTAATATATGTATTTTTTGTACTCAAACGGAAACACAGAAAAGCATTGTGGTATTTTCAAATATTTCTTAGGAGTCCAGAATTCAAATTACAGTCGAAAACTGGGTAGGTTTATAGCTAGCCATTAGTTGAACAATGTAGAATCTTGTGTGGTAGTGGTCCTATAAACATGATGAATTTTCATCATCTGATTCTTTTGTATCTTTTCAATTTTGAAATTTGAATGTATATATTTCGATATAATCTGTCTCTATTTGCTTACTCTTTAACGGTAAAATATGCTTTAAGATGTATTCGTTGATACGGAAAATGGCAGAGAAGTTACGCCCGCAATGTCTATGACGTAGTAAACTTCTAAAGATATCTCGACAAGAGTTTCACCTTTTAACGTTCCACTTGCATATAAGATTTCTTTTAAATCTGGTACGAGCCCATGGAAGAAAGAGTCGATAACCCCAAGTCTTCATTTGACTACAGATGTAGTCTCAATAGGAAAGTTTATTTTTTGGATTAAATTTACAATTATATACGAAGAACATGTACACAATTGATAAGTACAAATAATAAAAATAAAAATTTGTGCGTCTCTAGCAATCCACCCACTCTAAGGCATCTCCAAAGGGTTGCTGTCCAATCTGAACTGCCTAGTGGGACGCATTAAAAGCAGACATGTAATGAAAAGAGTACCCTTTGCACATAAAATACTACGCAAGAAAAAGAAGGGACTCTCGAAAATAGCCTCAAAATAAATATGTATCCAACACTGTCACAATGCATGTATTCAGCCGATACTCGAAACATTTCATAACCAAGGAATAAATATCTTATTTATCAATCAAACCCATAACCGGACGACGACGTTGGTACAGCACCATACTCAGAAATTGAACACAAAAAGTGGAGGATGTCTCCCGCAAATGACCGTAAGCGAGTAGGATTTGCAACTTAAAAGACAAGCTCGGCATTGATCCTGAATCCACGTAAGTAGATGGATATGCGAGAAATCCACGGTAACAGGGAGGCCTACAGCTGTGATCAGTTGTCTAATCGCAAGCAGCAACGGACGTACAGTACGTTAGCCTGAAGAGTACAAAGTAAAGGAACAAAAAGGATGTGAAGACCCCATCGAATCAAATCGTGCAGGATGAAACAAAAGGGGTAAACGTACGCTGCGAACGAATATCTCTTCCGGGATGGAGCAAGAGGATCGGTGAAGCCATGAGGTTGCCGTTGTGACGGGGTGGTCCCACGGCCCCTCCAAGGATTCAGGTAGACACCTCCACCACTCCGATCTCTAGGCTGGCGGTCACGGTGGACCGTCGATCGGATTCTCCCTGAACTGTACTCTGGAGAGGCATAGATAGATCTCCCGGTAATCGGGGTCGGGGTCGGGTGGGGAACGGGGGTAGAGTAGAGTAGAGTAGAGTGGAGTAGAGTTGACTGCCTGAGGGCAGTGATCTACTGCTATACGCGAGATGTTCGTTGCAGAGGATCGTATGTACAAAACAGTATACGCTTTTTCTAGTGTGCCCCTCCGACACTGGCTGCTGCTGCTGCAGCGGCTATCAGGTTGACTGGCGACGAGCAGTAATTAAGTGCCAGCGATTTGGATGACACGTCCGACAAAAAGGCAAAACACACCCCCTACATTCAGTTGTAGTGTCGTTGTGGGGGAGTGGGGAGCTCGGCCAGTTGCAGGTCGACGTTCTTGTAAAGCTCTGGGTAAACAGGCGACTCGATCTCGAGAGCCCCATTTCGCCCTAAGCAAATAAACCTCGACTGTCGTGCTCGTATCATGAGCTGGTTACTGGAGACCGGGAGAAGAAACAGCGGTCGGAAACTGGAACTGGCAATTCAGAGCCCGATTTTATCGGGTCGTGGCAATCTAACAGAATGAAAAAGTAACCTCCGTGTACAATCACAGTATACATTGACATTCTTCCAGAATCCTGATTTGGAGATGTATTCAGTTGTAGTAGACAGATGAAACGATGAGTGACTCAACTAATTAAGAACTATTCCCGTGCTGTCTTTTCTACGTATCAGCCGAGCTTACATTGCCTGGTCTGGACTGGGCCATGCAGGCCGGATCGAGTCCACAGCAGTTAAGAGTAGGAAGAATTTTATTCCGTGGAGGGAGAGAGAGAGAAGAGAGAGAGAGAGAAAAGGAGGTACAGTCGAGAGAAATTGTATTAGCTTGAGGTGGTCACTTTTACTTTTCCTCTTTTCTCTTGCCATGCCAGTGCCGCATCTGCAGTGGTCTGACTGAGATAGAAATGAAAATTCAATACGAGATATATTTCTCTGTCTGGACATGTGCATTTTCAGTCGATGATCCGTTGCATGAATTTCGGTGATATTTTTTTTAATGGTCGTATCGCCATGCCCGCTTTAGGCAGTCACCCCTTGGCCTACTGTGGATCTCGTAGAGGAAAAAGTACTGCAAGTGTGTAAGCTATCGTTCATGCATTGACTTGAAAACTCTGACCACGTAGAAACACTGGTCTTCCTTTGCGTTAAAACTTAAGAGGCAAAATCCTTGTCTTAAGCTTGCGTTTCATTTCCATATTCTTTGCTAAGAGGCAGGGAATGAAATTGATGGAAGCTAGATCTGGGATTTGTCGTCGGTAAATCCTCCATTTGAGGAAGACATGGAGGAAGGAATAAGTGAAAGTGGTTAAGTGAAAGCTATGCGTAGGGGGGGGGGGGGTTGGTAGTCTGGGTTGTCTCCACACGACGCGAACTGACTCGCTTTCTTCAGAGCGGTCACGCTCGATGAGCCTTGCTTGGCATGGGACCTGGAAAGCTGAGGTGAGGTCGAGCGATGCCAGCTGCTTGATGATGGTACTTCACTTTTGCAGTGAGGAAAAGAAAGGACTTGATATTTATCAGATCATACCCGACTACCTACATTTAATGGCAGAGCGAGCAGTGCATCTTAGAATCTGCTGCGGATTTGAGCCGTGCACATTTTTCCCGCTAGCTACCAGCTCAGTGTAACGCTGCAGCTGTCCTCGATTATTACCCCGTCCAGGCGTCGACTCTGCGCAGACAGCCTTCCTGCGAGCGCAAGGTGCGGACTTCGTTTGTAGAGGTTGGAAGATTAGGTAGACATACTGAATTGATGATCGAATGTTCTCGTTCTCAGTCAGGTCAGTATCAGTACCAGTAGAGATTGATGTTCGATCAGATCGCGCAATTAATTATAGTTCCAGGATCCGTTCATCTATCGCGTACTTGTTCGATCTTGTAGCTGAACTGATCGAATCCGATCTCGTTTCCGCTCTCCCTTGCAATCGCCTTTTATGTCTAGGTTCAATCACACGTCTGGAGTGGCGCGTTGATTCAGGGTTCTGCACTCGTTGTAAATCTTTCGATGCATAGACCGTGGTGTCCATGGATCGGCCTGTTGACCATGAAAATGTCCTGGTCCGATCTTATGCTACACTATGCTCTTTCGAGAACTGTCTTCAATGTTGAGAGAATAAAAAGACTTCGCCCTTGAATGCTACACTAGTGATTTGTGACCGATGTGTATCGACCTGTGGTCAGCTCGAGATTTCATGAATTTCATATTTTCATTGTAAGAAGACTTCGTTCAGAGTGTCTCAAGCACATACAAGTCATCGTTCATCCGTTCATACGTGCAAATATATCAATGTTTCGATCTAAGTTTTAGAAAGCTTCAATATGAGTTATATCCAGTTTCTGCGAGTAAGACTGATCGCTTTCTAGACATCAGCATTCCTTGTCTGGATTGACCCAAACGAACGAGGGAAGAGTAACTCGAACTTGTAATAGATTGTGCAAATTTGGAACTAGAGCGCAGATGTTTGAAGAACCTAGATCAGATTGCCGATAACCGCCTATATGAATTTATCTGCGAGACCGTAAGTTATATTTTGTGCTTGGCGGCAACTAGTTCATGAACTGCAGGATCTCTGCATGCCTTTCCGCTTGGGCTGAGATGTGGGAGTTCTCGTAAAATTTAACGCCACGGGGACTGCTTCAGACATCAGCTCGGGGTACTAATGGACGTGCAACCTCTTGTATTTCGCGTTTGTTGCAGCCTGGAGACATAAAACAGCTTTCTCAAAAGGGTGTTAATCTAACATTCCATCGATCATTTTCGAAAATCAACTCTGCCAGATTCCGAATCGTGGCAGCACCTTACTCCATGCCGTGAAGGGCTTCGTCTCTGCCTTTTCGGGCTGCCCCCATTCATCCATCGAGCGTGGGCAGCTCTTGCAATTCGTGCCAAAAAGGAGGATCCGAACTCTCAACGCCGGTAGATGAACGTAGCTGAAAAAATTATCGACCTCCACACAATTTATAGCTCGGGGCTGCAGAGAGCAGAAACCCATGAATTTTTTATTTTACCCCGAGCAACGGGTTCATGATGCAAAAGATCTACGATACACATGACCGATCATGACAGCAGTCTTCCTGTGACAGTAGAGACTCGAGATCGGAGCTCAGCTTCAATCAGAGAGTGCCATACTGTCTGCGGGCTAGCTCGAGCATGTGGGACAAAGTGCAGCGCAGCGCATCAGTATGAAAACTCGAGCTCCCAGAACCAGCGCTGCCAGAATTTGTGTCGGGACGGCACCGAACGGAGTGGAACGGAGGCCAGCCTGAGCTTGCCACCGTAGGTGCCCTACGTTCACATGAGTTTCGCCCAAACACAATTCCCAGCACTTTCGTACAGGGACGATCTTGAAATCTACTAAGGCAGCAGATCTCTCCAGTTTACTGGTTCCAGTCCGCCAGTGCCAAATATTCTTCTAAGACTTCAATAAATCTCAGCTCTCGTGCCAGTCCCCTTGACGGCGACTGAATTAGCTAAATCTGAGAAGGCTGGTCATATCGATTGCATTGGGGACTCTGATACGACATGCTTAAAAATGAGCAAGCTTTTGGAGGTTGAGTATCAGTGAGTGAAACAGCCCGTCAACATCCACCTGCATCCCCTGGGTAAGGGAAAAGAGAAGCATGTGCCCTGTACATGGTTCCGGACACCCACTCATGGACGGCAAGGACATGCATACAGCACGAGGTTGTGCAGCGAACGACGGGATAAGATGTCCAGCAATTTTGCGCTGGAAGGATGCTAATAGAGAGGGAGAGCGAGAGTACATTATCCGCACAGTAACCGGTCAGTCGGATTACTATACTGCTGAAGAGCACTGGGTCCACATTTCTTACGCACAACTGGCCGGATGTGACTTCCATGAGGGAAGTAATCAAGCGGTGGGTGATTTATGTCATCCGCCATGTGCCTGGGCTTAGCTCGGCTGGGCTGCAGGCTCGCGTTCCCCAGTGAGGAACGTCAATGAACGTCGAGGACTACAGCTCCGGCCAACGGGGACAGCATGATGAGTACGAGGACCGTCAGTCGTCGCATTGAAAGTATGGTAGGTGTACAAGAACTTCGAATAGTATCATGGCGTCGCTGACTGCAGAGTCTGATCCAGTGGCGGAGTTTACTCGGCCACGTAATTCTCAATCCTCGCAGCATAAAACCTATGGACCAACTAACTAATCCCCGAATAGGTCTCCGCCTCATGCAGCCAGGTAGACAAAGTAGGGTCCTGTAAATTCCGAGTCTAGACGACAGCAACTGTATTCACATGCGATTACATTCCGTGCGTGTCTGGGAATCATTCCTCCATCGATCAAAGCCATGTATAAGACGCCAAACTGATCCAAGCCTGGAGTACATACAGAAGGGCCTGCCCCGCTCGCTGAAATCTACGGCGCCTTTCTCCCACACAAATGGGAAAAGGAAGGAAGGAAGGAAGGAATGGCGGAGTTCAGAGTTACTAGAAGTAGGACTCTGGGAGACGACGCGAGCAGGACGGGTCGGAAGTGGAAGGCGAGGGCGGCATGATGCTGTGGTGGGAACCGGAGTGGAGCAGTTGGGGGGAGGGGGGGGGCCAGGGCCGTATTTTGGTCGGCTGGAAGTTCCGAGTCCCCACCAATGAAAGGAGGCGGAACGGACAAAAGCGCGAGTGGCACCATCGCACATGCACACGGCTGTTTAATTGCAGTTTGGTGCAATCCAGTGCGCAGTCAGGGGTGCATAGTCTGGGCTGTATGGAGGATGACGTCTCCCATCCGAACAGAGTCAGGTGTTGGTTGCATCGTAAAGTGGGATAAGAATTCATCGACCTCACCACCCACACATCCCGCACCCCCCCACCCCACCACATCACATCGCTCCACAACCCCAAGAAAGAATCCGGCCCCGTTCAGTCCTGTCCTCTTTCGGTGGTCCCATCCCTGGCCCTGGCCCTGATCCTGGTCCTGCTGCTCGTCCTCCCAAGACTTCGAACCAACTCCTCCCCGTTGTCGTCTCCCTCCCTGCCTGTCTGGTCCGTTCGGGCCGGGTCGGGTCGATCCCTCTCGCCCTGCCCCTGCCCTCCACGAGACCTTATCCCTTCTCTCCCGTGCAGACAATTATACTGCCGTATTTCGTATGTCGTATAATGGAGTCACCCCGTATGTTTGCACCCCGTACTGTTGACCCGACTCGTGGTCCGATTTCACTTTCTTCCCCGTGTTCTGTCTCTGCTTTGCCGTGATCTGATTCATTTCCATGCACGCTTCCTGCGGCCAACGGAACTCTCAAGGCTACAGTCGGAAGTCGGTTGCCTGTCTCCTTTCGCTTTCTACTGCTGCATTCTATTCTGAGGCCCCGCCTGTCATTGCCGAGGATTGGTGTTACCGGGTGACTGTTCCTTGGAGTTTAATAATGTAAAGCCGACTGCCCAGAGGGCTCGAGGAGAATTTATAAGAAATTTATAATATTTCATTTTCATTCTTCGCTTGCGGCCACTTTGTCGGAGAGGCTGGAATTGTGCGGTTTCGAATGTCTGGATTCTGCAGAAATTCTGAGAATGGAAAGCGCTCGAAGGCAGTAGGCTATCGGTGTGGTTAGTTCACTTCTTTTTGCCTTTCTAGGCTGCGATCGCTTTACACTTCGAGGCATCTCGTTGCCATCATTTTTAAGCGTTTGATCTTATTCTCTCTCTCTCTCTGGGGGGCCCTTCCCGTGCTGACTCTTTGTATACAAAATCTGTTTATATGTCTCGGTGAGCACGGCTGCTGCTGTCGGCAGGCTCACCTCATTTGCCAACGCCGACTTTGGTTGCCAAACATGCAGACTGAACTGATGTAAGAATAGATAAAGTTCCAACGTGAAACCTTCCTCCTGATGTATGTTGATTCTCCCACACGCACATGCAAAACAAACATGTTTATTCCAACTTCCCAAGATAATGTCACGAGTTTTAATTTCCTGAACAGATTCTGATAAGGGCCAATGTAGGCCCTCTTCAGATTTTGTCACAAGCTTTGGCGTTGCTACAGATTCTGATAAGGCACTGTGTTGCATCAGCGGGTCCTGCATTTGGCCGCTACTTCTTCTCAGCATCGTTCATACACGTTCATCCAGAACTGATATGCGGGGAAGGTACGACTCGCTCGAGGTTTGCACAGACCAAGGGAGCCTGGATTCAGGGAGTTGAAGCTTACACCTAAAATTTTCACTATAAAGTTTATGTACAAAGTTTTCTCATCCGCATCATTATATCACTTGCATGAAAGCCATCTTCTCAGACCTGCGATTTCCTTGAAACAAAGTAGAAGGGGGGTGGCATTGACCACAAAGAGGAGCGTTTCGGATATTATTGCAACGAACTTCTCGAAGAATTTTGAGTCAACTGAAGGGCGGGCCGTCACCGCGCATGTGATGGAAGGAATCAGCTGCCAACCCATGTTTCCAACATGCCCATAGTCTTTCATTCCGATTGACGTGCTGGTGAGTCCTTGCGCAGAATTCTAGAGTCATCTCTTGTAAAGGAATGTTGGACTCCGAAACAGTAGCAGACACTCCGATAGAGAGAATGTTCCAGCTTGAGCGTGAGTATATCATGATGAAAAAAATCTACAGGAATAATGTCAACTCGAAGAAGCCACACACTTTCGAGAGCTGAACATCGTGAAAGATCTTGATTGTGCAGAAGAAGACCTCTGCGGACCGCTCGCCAGACATAATACGTCTTCCAGAACCCCAGCGGGAGGCGTGCGCACGCAAATCTCCGGCGAGGGAGAAGAGGAGAGCCAATCGACCTATCTCCACACCATGACAACTGAACGAAAGAATAAATAGAAAATGAATAGAAATAAATAAGTCACAACTGAATGGGGAACTTATTTTCATTGTATCTCGTCGTGGAGAAGACAAGACGAGGGGGCATCCATGGCCAGTTCAGACGAAGCCCAGAAGATTTGCCCGAAGCTCGAAGTAAAGCCACAAACAACCCTTGCCCACCACCCCAAACAGGGGCACCGTCAAAGTGATGAGGGATGGGTTATTAAACCGCCAGAATCTAAGAGCAACAATTTCTCATATGCCTGACCTTCAGCTTAGTGGCCACAAATTGTATAGAAAAAAATAAAGGGTTTCAGTGGGGAGATCATACTCATTAGTTATCCTCAATATCTC